CTTGAGAGTCACTGGACCTCTGTCGCACAACAAATCTGTCCATAGAGTTCTGTACCTCACGTTCCTTTAAGATTTGTCTAAAATGGGCCACAACATTGTCATTGTAATAGTCACCAGCACAGCTTCCAATAGCTGTGTTAGAGTGATTTTCATCCATAAAGGTTTCCAGTTCAACCCATTTTGCACACATTTCCTTAATCTTTGAAGTAGGCAACTTCTTGAAAATCTCTCTCCTCTCCTCTGAAGCAATTTCCTCAGGTCTGGCCTCTTGCTGTTGCAGATGTTCTTGCAGCTCATCATTGGTTAGTTCTTCATCGTCCTCCTCCACCAACTCTTCCACATCCTCCCCACTAACCTCCAACCCCAAGGACTTATCCAATGCCACAATAGATTCCTCAACTGGCATAGGCTTCTCAGGGTTAGCCCCAAACCCTTCAAAATCTCTCTCTTCTACACATTCTGACCACAATTTCCTCCAAGCAGAGTTCAAGGTCCTCTTAATCACTCCCTCCCAAGCCTTACTTATAAGGTTTATACAACTGATGATACTAAAGTGATCTTTCCACTTAAGGTCAATCGAGTGTCTGAGGTCACTTCAAAGCACTTTTGAAACATAGCTTCTGTGTAGAGCTTTTTGAAGTTTGAAATGACCTGCTGATCCATGGGCTGCAGGAGAGGAGTGGTATTAGGAGGCAAAAACTTGACATTGATGAAGCTCATGTCCCCAGAAATTCGCTCTGCCAACTCTGAAGGATGACCAGGAGCATTGTCTAATACCAGGAGGCACTTAAGGTCCAATTTATTTTCAAGGAGGTAACTTTTCACAGTGGGGCCAAACACATGGTGAAACCAGTCATAGAAAAAGTCCCTAGTGACCCATGCCTTACTGTTTGCCCTCCACATCACACACAAATTAGTCTTGAGGACATTATTTTTTCTGAACACACTGAGAATTTCAGAGTGATACACCAATAAAGGCTTCACTTTGCAATCACCACTAGCATTACCACACAACAAAAGAATAAGCCTGTCTTTCATAGGCTTATGTCCTGGGAGTGCCTTTTCCTCCTGAGTAATGTAGGTCCTGTTTGGCATTTTCTTCCAAAACAGGCCTGTTTCATCACAATTAAACACTTATTTAGGTTTCAATCCTTTAGCCTCTATGTACTCCTTGAAAAATTGGATATCAAATTGGGGAGGAGGAGTATGGAAGAAGTGAATGTTTTCAGATATTTGGGAGTTGACATGTCAGCAGATGGATTCATGAAGGATGAGGTTAATCATAGAATTGAAGAAGAAAAAAAGGCAAGTGGTGCGTTGAGGTATATGTGGAGACAAACAACGTTATCTGTGGAGGCAAAGAAGGGAATGTACGAAAGTATAGTGGTACCAACACTCTTATATGGCTGTGAAGCTTGGGTTGTAAATGCTGCAGCGAGGAGGCGGTTGGAGGCATTGGAGATGTCCTGTCTAAGGGCAATGTGTGGTGTAAATATTATGCAGAAAATTTGGAGTGGGGAAATTAGGAGGTATGAAGTTAATAAAAGTATTAGTCAGAGGGCAGAAGAGGGGTTGTTGAGGTGGTTTGGTCATTTAGAGAGAATGGATCAAAGTAGAATGACATGGAGAGCGAATAAATCTGTAGGGGAAGGAAGGCTGGGTAGGGGTCGTCCTCAAAAAGGTTGGAGGGAGGGGGGTAAAGGAGGTTTTGTGGGCAAGGGGCTTGGACTTCCAGCAAGCGTGCGTGAGCGTGTTAGATAGGAGTGAATGTAGACGAATGATATTTGGGACCTGACGAGCTGTTGGAGTGTGTGCAGGGTAATATCTAGTGAAGTGATTCAGGGAAACCAGTTATTTTTATATAGCCGGACTTGAGTCCTGGAAATGGGAAGTACAATGCCTGCACTCTAAAGGAGGGGTTTGGGATATTGGCAGTTTGGAGGGATATGTTGTGTATCTTTATATGTATATGCTTCTAAACTGTTGTATTTGAGCACCTCTGCAAAAACAGTGATTATGTGTGAGTGAGGTGAAAGTGTTGAATGATGATGAAAGTACGTATTTTCTTTTTGGGGATTTTCTTTCTTTTTGGGTCACCCTGCCTCGGTGGGAGACGGCCAACTTTTTGGTCTGAACTGGCAGCCTCACCAAGCCTTATCACACTCTGTATGCCACCACGACTCTGAAATCTCTCAAACCAACCTTTGCTGGCCTTAAATTCACTCACATCACCACTAGTTGCAGGCATTTTTTTAATTAAATCTTCATGCAACTTCCTAGCCTTTTCACATATGATCGCTTGAGAGATGCTGCCTCCTGCTATCCGTTTTTTGTTTATCCACGCCAATAACAGTCTCTCAACATTTTTGAGTACTTGCAATCTCTGTTTCGAAAACATTCTTGCACCTTATGCAAGAACAGCTTCCTTGATTGCCTTTCTGTTGGCCAAGATAGTAGCGATGGTTGATTGGGGTTTGGTATACAACCTGGAAAGCTCCGAGACGTGCACTACACTTTCGTACTTTGCGATTATCTCTTTTTTCAATTCCATACTAATTCTCACCCTTTTTACCACAGGGTTAGCACTAGAAGCTTTACTTTTGCAGTTACAAGCACTAAAAACACTGGGATAGTATAAAATGTTCTGAATGTATGTGTGGATGCGACCGCACTGGCTGGCTTGTAAACACTTCCACACACGGGGCAGCTGAGCCGAGCTCAGGCCACATGTGGACGCGTACCAGACAAACCATGTTGGGCGAGTTTTTCATCATTGGCCAGGCCAAAATTTTTACTCTCTAACGCTTTGTTAGGAGGATTTAACGTTAGACGATGCTTTCGTTAGCCAAGGGTCCACTGTATTTAAAAAATCCGATTAAGAAAGTGTACTTTCTGCTTTTTTTTTTTTTAACAAGTCGGCCGTCTCCTACTGAGGCAGGGTGACCCAAAAAGAAAGAAAATCCCCAAAAAGAAAATACTTTCATCATCATTCATCATTTTCACCTCACTCACACATAATCACTGTTTTTGCAGAGGTGCTCAGAATACAACAGTTTAGAAGCATATACATATAAAGATACACAACATATCCCTCCAAACTGCCAATATCCCAAACCCCTCCTTTAAAGTGCAGGCATTGTATTTCCCATTTCCAGGACTCATGTCCGGCTATATAAAAATAACCTGTTTCCCTGAATCCCTTCACTAAATATTACCCTGCTCACACTCCAACAGCTCATCAGGTCCCAAATACCATTCGTTTCCATTCACTTCTATCTAACACGCTCACGCACGCTTGCTGGAAGTCCAAGCCCCTCACCCATGAAACCTCCTTTACCCCCTTCCTCCAACCTTTTCGAAGACGACCCCTACCCTGCCTTCCTTCCCCTACAGATTTATACGCTCTCCATGTCATTCTACTTTGATCCATTCTCTCTAAATGACCAAACCACCTCAATAACCCCTCTTCAGCCCTCTGACTAATACTTTTATTAACTCCACACCTTTTCCTAATTTCCTCACTCCGAATTTTCTGCATAATATTTACACCACACATTGCCCTTAGACAGGACATCTCCACTGCCTCCAACCGCCTCCTCGCTGCAGCATTTACAACCCAAGCTTCACACCTATATAAGAGTATCAGATGAGTTTGTATAAATAAATGTGTACATGTATGTGTAGTGTGACCTAAGTGTAAGTAGAAGTAGTAAGACATACCTGTAATCTTGCATATTTATGAGACAGACAAAAGACACCAGCAATCGTACCATCATCTAAAACAATTACAGGCTTTTGTTTTACACTCATGGTAGTACCTCCCTGGGTGGTTGCACAGTACATACATTTCCATTCATGAACTTATGTTGTAGAACATTTAACAGTCATCTGGGATAGAAGTTGCTGTTGTGAGAATGCCTATTATGATGTCAGAGCAAATGAGGATGAAGGGCAAGGTTGTACCATAGTAGAAGCCTTGTGTGTGTGTGTCCCTGGTAAAGTGACTGGCTCAAGTCACTCCTCGGTCTGGTGTTGGTGGCCTTCCAGGGTCTTTTCATAGAATAAATGGTTTTGTGTGCCCTCACTCTGAAGGATGGGTGGGGATGTTGCAGCTTAGAGGTCATCTGAGTTGTGATATCAGCATGCTTCTGATAAGACAGATAGTGTTTTATGTTTTACAGAGTGACCCTGTCTTAATGGGATATATTGCTTAAAAGTGTTTTTTTTTTTTTTTTACGAGGTAACCATATCACTGTGGGAGATGGCTGGCTTGAAAGCGTACTTTTCTTTTACAGGGTGAACCTGTCTCCGTAGAAGATGGCTAGTTTGTTAAAAAAAAAAAAAAAAAAAGTTCATGCTTAGGGCCCTGGTGGCCCACAGAAACTGCCAGCTTTTACAGTGCTTCTGTGCTAATTGCCAATGGATAATCCAAGAACTGTCATGGGAGGGAGGTCACTAGAAGACTTTGGCCAAAACGAGTATTGACATGCAGAATGCAAAAGCACACAGTAGACTCTAATGAAGCCTAGAAAGATAATCATTAGTGTGAGAGAGAGTGAGTGAACATTTTTCATGTTCCAGTCCCATTTATTGTAAATTTATTCATTACATGGAGACGAATAGTTTTTGGGACTTGACAGACTGTTGGAGTGTGATCAGGGTAATATTTTGTGAAGAGATTCAGGGAAACCAATTAGCTGGATGTAGAGTCCTGGAGGTGGGAAGTACAATGCCTGCACTTGAAAGGAGGGGTTTGGGATATTGGCTGTTTGGAGTGACATCTGAACTGTCGTATCTGAGCTCCTCTGCAAAGACAGTGATTATGTGTGAATAATGGTGAAAGTTTTTCTTTTTTGGGTCACTCTGCCTCGGTGGAAGACGACCGATGGGTTGAAAAAAAATTTAAGTACTGCAGGGTAGATAAGTTGTCTTATCAACTTAAATTATTTAGGTATTCTTTGTGAACACCTACTTTATTGTATTTTTTTTGTTTGCCACAGGGAAACAAAGGCGCTGTGTCTGTGAGGCTAGATTTACACAGCACATCTATTTGTTTTGTCAATGCACACTTGGCAGCACACCAAGAGGAGTTGGACCGCAGAAATGAAGACCATGACTGTATATTTCAGCGAACGTGCTTCAACTTAAACATTAACAGCCCACCCAAAACTATAAAAGACCATGAGTGAGTATAATTAAGTAGTGTTGTATTAACTATAATAATACATAAATGTATATAGGTACACTAGTGTTGCTTGACTCTTTGGTTTACGAGTTTTTACATATGCTCTGTTGTTTTTCAAATTTCAGATTCTGCGCCTTTCCAAATAGGAAGTTATTAATTTTATTTTCGTATTTCTACATTTCAGGCATATATACTTCATTGGGGACATGAACTACCGGATAAATCCCTGTGATGTGAACATCAGGGAGGTTGCGAGCAGTAATAAATTCAGTATTCTCCTGGAAAATGACCAACTTACACAGCAGCGAAATTTAAAACGAATATTTCACAAATTCAAGGAAGGGAACATTACCTTCAGACCGACATTCAAGTATGACGTTGACAGCGATGAATGGGACTCAAGGTTTGTATAAGTTGATTTTTTTTTTTTAACAAGTTGGCCATCTCCTACTGAGGCAGGGTTACCCAAAAAGAAAGAAAATCCCCAAAAAGAAAATGCTTTCATCATTCAACACTTTCACCTCACTCATAAATAATCACTGTTTTTGCAGAGGTGCCCAGAACACAACAGTTTAGAAGCATATACATATAAAGATACACAACATATCCCTCCAAACTGCCAATATCCCAAACCTCTCCTTTAAAGTGCAGACATTGTACTTCCCATTTCCAGTACATACTCAAGTCCAGCTATATAAAAATAACTGGTTTCCCTGAATCCCTTCATTAAATATTACCCTGCTCACACTCCAACAGCTTATCAGGTCAAAAATTCTATTCGTCTCCATTCACTTCTATCTAACACACTCACGCAAGCTTGCTGGAAGTCCAAGCCCCTTGCCCACAAAACCTCCTTTACCCCCTCTCTCCAACCTTTTTGAGGACGAGCCCTACCCCGCCTTCCTTCCCCTACAGATTTATACACTCTCCATGTCATTCTACTTTGATCTACTTTGATTCATTCTCTCTAAATGACCAAACCACCTCAACAACCCCTGTTCAGCCCTCTGACTAATACTTTTATTAACCTTCTCCTAATTTCCACACTCCGAATTCTCTGAATAACACATATTTACACCACACATTGCCCTTAGACAGGACATCTCCACTGCCTCCAACCGCCTCCTCGCTGCAGCATTTACAACCCAAGCTTCACACCCATATAAGAGTGTTGGTACCACTATACTTTCATACATTCCCTTCTTTGCCTCCATAGATAATGTTTTTTGTCTCCACATATACCTCAATGCACCACTCACTTTTTTTCCTTCATCAGTTCTATGATTAACCCTCATCCTTCATACATCCATCCACTGACATGTCAACTCCCAAATATCTGAAAACATTCACTTCTTCCATACTCCTCCTCTCCAATTTGATATCCAATTTTTCTTTATCTAAATCACTTCTAAAATTATGAGTGACATTTATCCATAGTTCATACATTGTGATTTACAATTATGTCATAGTTCTTAAAAATTATGGCACACTTCTCCATTATATATACATTACAATGCAATGCAGAAACCTGCATAACACCCCACAGCTCGTCAAGTCCCAAAAACCATTCATTTCCATTTACTCCTATCTAATATACTCACACATGCTTGCTGGAAGTCCAAGCCCCTCACTCACGAAACCTCCTTTACCCCCTCCCTCCAACCTTTTCGAGGACGACCCCTACCCTTCCTTCCCCTACAGATTTATACGCTCTCCAAGTCATTCTGCTTTGATCCATTCTCTCTAAATGATCAACCCATCTCAACAGCCCCTCTTCAGCCCTCTGACTAATACTTTTAGTAACTTCACGCCTCCTAATTTCCACACTCCGAATTCTCAGCATAATATTTACACCAAACATTGGCCTTAGGACATCTCCACTTCCTCCAGCCGCCTCCTCACTGCAGCATTTACAACCCAAGCTTCACCCATATAAGAGTGTTGGTACCACTATACACTTTCATACATTCCCTTCTTTGCCTCCATAGATAACGTGAATTACTTATGGGAAAAAATAAGCTTGAAGGCATAAAATAACATTGTTAGAAATGTGAGGCATTATAATTTTTTATATATTTTTTATCAACATGCCGGTTGTATCCCACCGAGGCAGGGTGACCTAAAGAAGAATAAAAGTTCTTTTTTTAGGTCACCCTGAGTATATATGACAAATTCCTAAGTAGTAGGTTGGTAGACAGTAACCACCCAGGGAAATATTACCGTACAGCTAAGTGAGTGTGAAACAGAAAAAAAAACTGTAATTGTTTTACATGATGGTAGGATTGCTGGTGTCTTTTTCTGCCTCATAAAGATGTGGGATACAGGTATATCTTACTACTTCTACTTACACGTAGGTCACACTAAACATGCATGTACATGCATATATATATACATACCCATCTGGGTTTTCTTCTATTTTCTTAATAGTTCTTGTTCTTCTTTATTTCCTCTTATCTCCATGGGAAAGTGGAACAGATTTCTTCCTCCAGAAACCACATATGCCGTAACAGACTACTAGAATGCTGGGAGCAAGGGACTAGTAACCCCAACTCCTGTATAAATAACTAAATTTAAAAAGAGAAACTTTTGATTTTCTTTTTGGGCCACCTTGCTTCGGTGGGATATGGCCGATTTGTTGAAAGAAAGAAAACTCAGGAAATAGTTATGACACAGTGTAAGTGACTCATGGAACAATTAGGATTCAAACCCATACCAAGACAGTTGTAAAACTTGCTGGCCAGTGTTCTAATTACTGTACCATAGACTGGCTTGCCGCAACTTTGAATACTGCCTGTTCTGAGAGCTATTTGTGCAGTCTCATTAATTATTATCAGAGATGACGTTATTATTGCAACAAAATTTACCCTGAGTCTTGAACATTTTAGCCCTTTGCTAATAGCTTAAAATAAACTCTCCAGTACAGTACAGCCTCTCCTCATTTAACAACAGAGTTCCATTCCTAAGACCACGTCAGTAAATGAATTCATCACTAAGTGAGGAGCATATTATAATGGTCGTGGGTTTGCGTGAACCATCTTTCATATTGTTTAATGTCACCTTTGCACCGTTTATAACATTTCTGGTGTATTTTTAAATGTTTATACAGTAGTGTACTATATATTGTAATGAACAGAATAGAGGAAATCAGCTCTAATATACATTATATAGGTATGCATACTGGTCAGAGAGCCCTTTGTAAGTCTGAGTCGTCGGTAAACGAGTACGTTGCTAAGTGAGGAGAGGCTGTATTTATACATCCCAACTCTTTATACCATATTTCGCGGCTTATAAGACTTGTTTTAGTTTCACTGGCTCGGCATCGGATGTAATTGGGAGAGCTACAGCCCACTCCCATCACTGACCTTCAGTTTATAGGACACAAGGTGGTTTTTGGAGACATTTTATGGAAAAAAATGCGTCTAATAAGCCGCAAAATACGGTAATTACCTCTTATTTTTAGTGACAAGTTTTCAGGTAACTCATGCACTGAGTTTTTTCAAAATTGTTTTATATATATAATGCATTCTAATTTACAATAATATGTTTATAAATGCAGGATGATTCATTTGCTTGAATTTATCATTGTTCATCAGTGAAATACAACACGACTGAGTTGTACACTTTTTTAATAGTGAGAAGGCAAGATTACCTGCTTGGTGCGACCGAATTCTGTGGCATGGAGAAGGAATCGCTCAAGTTGTGTATCGCTCACATCCAGCCCTGAAGATTAGTGACCATAAGCCTGTGAGCGCTCTCTTCCAGGCTGGGGTAAGTCCTGATATATTTTTAATGTAAATCACTTTTTTTTTCTTCTACCAGTAACAACCTCTTTGTTTTATTTTGCTGTTCCTTTTCTCTCTCTCCTCTTAGACATTCTTGTAAAGAGAGTGAATTTGCAGAGCAAGTGTATATTTAGACAGAGTTTCACTTGGTGTTGAGCTTTATCAACTCATACCAGAGGATACAATATACACTCAGATCCCTGCTTGTTAACCTAATCAGGCAATCACCTAGCAGCACCTCAATGCTTAAAAGCATGCATTGTCAAGAGGTTCATTTGTTATTCAGATCAAACATTAGATTGGGAAAAAAAATGAGCTAAGAGACTTTGACCATGGAATGACTCTTGGTGCCAAACAGGGTAGATTGAGTATCTCAGAAACTGCTGATCTTCTGATATTTTCATGCAAAATAGTGTCTAGAGTTTACAGAGAATGATGTGAAAACACAAAACATCCAGTGAGCAACAGTTCTATGGACAAAAATGCCTTGTTAATGAGAATGTGTAGAGGAGAATGGCCAGACTGGTTCAGGATGACAAGAAGGTGACAGTAGCTTAAATAATCATGCATTGCAACAGTGGTATGCAGAAGAGCATCTCTGAATACACAACACATTGAACCATGAAATGAATCAGCTACAGCAGCAGAAGACCACACTGGGTTCCACTCATTTCAGCTAAGAACATTAAATTGATGCAACAGTGAGCACAGGCTCACCAAAACTGGACAGTTGAAGATTGTAGAAATGTTACCTGGTCTGATAAGTTGCAATTTCTTCTGTGACATACACATGGTAGGATCATAACTGGAATGTGGTGGAACAGGAGATTTTCAGCATGAATGTTGAGCTGACAAATCTAGAGCAACTGTGTGATGCTATCATGTGAACTTGGACCAGAATATCTAAGGAATGTTTCTAGCACCTTGCTGAGTCCATGCCATGAAGAATTCAGGCTGTTATAGAGGCAAAGGGATGGGGGCCCTACCTAGTATTAGACGGATGTATCTAATAAACTAGTCACTGAATCATGAAATCGTAATGACACTGAATGTTTGTTGGTATATATATGGGGAGGTAAGGGTACAAGAATGGAGGTGAGGGTCATGGGATATAGACTTGCCTTACTAACATTTTTCTTTGTGATACTTTTCATGATCATTTGCCAGTAAAATCATTCTGTAAGATATTCTGTTTAGTTTCACATAAGAGGGCAGTAATATAGTGTTAATGGAGTGCGCAATTAAGTATGCTAGTCACACCTCTTGCTTTGGGACACATTATAACCACTGTACTGCTTATGTGCCTTGACCCATTTCTCCCTCAGTTACTACACACACACACACACTTAGGTGCTGCTACCTGTTTTGCACTCTGTTACTATGAAAATATTTCTATTTCTGTAGAATTAAGTTTTGGTGAAATAATTCAGTTTTGGGTGAAGAGAGAGAGAGAGAGAGAGAGAACATGAGACAGTTAACCCTTAAACAGTCCAAGCAGATGTACGTTCATATGCGTAGTGCTCCAAAAGTAGATCTATTTTTTTTTTACATATTTTCAAATACAGTGGACCCCCGGTTTACGATATTATTTCATTCCAGAAATATGTTCAGGTGCCAGTACTGAACGAATTTGTTCCCATAAGGAATTAGATTAGTTCATTTCAAACCCCCAAACATACATGTACAAACGCACTTACGTAAATACACATGTTTTCAAATGTAAAAAAAAAAAAAGAAGATCTACTTTTTTTTACATACTTTCAAATGTTGAAAAAAACGTAGATCTACGTTTGGACAGTTTAAGGGTTAAATAGCAAGGATAATATAAATATTTTAATAAGTTGTGAGAAAATTTAAAAGAATATTGAAAATTAAATTTTAACTACATGTTCCAGAATGTGTTACTGTTAAAAAAACAAGGGAGCTAATCCTGAAAAATGGGTGAGATACACATCTTAGATACTAATGGAGGAAATAGTCATTGCTTACACTAAAGCATATTATGCAAAACCTGAGATATGATTTCTGATAACTATAATTTTTGATAATTAAAAAACAAATGACTGTACAGAGATATCATCAGTAGAAAAATTTAATTTGAGACAAGTGATCTCAATTTGTCAGAAGAAATCATAACAGTCACATTTTGTATGTGCCATTACATAAGATGAAGTTGAGGTTAATTTCCTGAAAGGTAGAAATAAAGTTCATAGAATATTAAGAGTTAATGAGATAATCATAGGAATATAAAAGAAGTATTTAATTAATGAAGGTTATATCTGAAAATAATATTTTCTGCTATTCAAATACTAGATAAAGGTGATTGACACACGCCGGTATCGACGTATTTACGAGGAAGTGATGAAGAAGCTTGATAAGCTTGAAAATGAATTTTTACCTCAGGTAACCATTGATACCACAGAGATTATTTTAGAACCAGTGAAATTTCTTCAGCCACAAACTAAATACCTCACAATTGCAAATACTGGGCAGGTATGTAAAGAATTTGTAGTTTTTCCTGAGATATTTTAATGTTATTTTGTTTACTGTAAAATACATAAAAGCCTTTGTGTCATACCTCAGATATGCCACTGTGGCCTTAAAATGTTCATGATCAGTTTCAGTAAAAAATATTTATTTCCAAAGATAATAATGTAGTAGCTACATGTATTTCTTTACACATATTGAAATTCTCTACCTATTCATTATACCTAATTACATATTTATAAAAGGGAATGGTTTCCTGTGAAATTGAGACATAGACAAGGATATGTGATGTTACTATGATTATGTAATGTGTTTGTGGATGAGCATGCTAGAAGATGAATACAGTGGACCCCCGGTTAATGATATTTTTTCACTCCAGAAGTATGTTCAGGTGCCAGTACTGACCGAATTTGTTCCCATAAGAAATATTGTGAAGTAGATTAGTCCATTTCAGACCCCCAAACATACACGTACAAACACACTTATATAAATACACTTACATAATTGGTCGCATTCGGAGGTAATCGTTATGCGGGGGTCCACTGTATTAATAATGTCTTTGGAAGAAGTATGATCATGAAAAATAACATGTCATAGGAGGTTGCTGATAAATAACATTTCTGTTGGGTGATTTGCAAGAAAAGTTGTAGAGGTCAGTTGGATAAGTTTGGAAAGTTGTATGCAATAAATGGTAATCTGGAATTGAGAATTAGCATTAAATAATACACAGATTTAGCACTTTTTTACAAATTCTGTATAATAGTTGTATTACTGTAAATGATGAAATTTTTTTTTTTTTTTTTTTTTTTTTTTTTTTCAACAAGTCGGCCGTCTCCCACCGAGGCAGGGTGACCCAAAAAAAGAAAGAAAATCCCCAAAAAGAAAATACTTTCATCATCATTCAACACTTTCACCACACTCGCACATTATCACTGTTTTTGCAGAGGTGCTCAGAATACAACAGTCTAGAAGCATACACATATAAAGATACACAACATATCCCTCCAAACTGCCAATATGATGAATATTAAGTTAAATACAGAAGGAAGGATTAGGAGGTGGGAATGGAAGGTAGGAGTGCAGAAAGAGTGGACATATAAGGAGACAGGGTCTATGGAGAATGAGGAAATCACTGAATGAATGAAGAAAAAAAAGGTTCTGAATTGTTGAAGTCAGTGGAAAGAAAGAAGTTTGATAATGGATGAAACTATGGACATGTTGAAAGAGTGAGGTGATACTGGTTTTGTATGCCTTTTAAGCATAGTTATGAAGTGTTGGAGGAGGAGATTATTGGGAGGAGGAGATTAGTTAGCATAAATATCTTGTTTGTGATCAATGTACTGTGTAATTTTTATGCAGAGAATAAGGAATAAGGAGATTAGAAGACTGTGCAGTAATAGGAAAAGATAATAAGGAGAGTGAAAGAGGGGTTATTAAGTTGCTTTGGCAGTATAGAAAGAATGAATCAAAATAGATTGACAAATAAAAAAGGATGTTTAAGACAGGAGTGGATGGAAGAATGTATGTATAATAAATATCTGAGGAGGTGCTGGAAGGTGCGAGAGAGAGAGGATTTAAAAGTTAGTGGCTTGATTATCCAGCAAACAAATTGATTGTGTTAGATCTGTTTGAGTGGAAGCTAGAGAGCAGATTATGGCAAATGCCATTTCTTCTTTGTAACACACTACCTTGGTGAAATAGTCACTGTGTTAGTGAAAGAAAAAGCTGCTTTATTTTATATTTCAGTGATTACTTACCAGTATTGTAACTAAGACAAAATAATTAAAATTTATAATTTTGGTGAGAGGTTAGCAATTAGAAAACAAATAACAAAATAACAATTAACAAAAGTTTATTGTGGAAGAGAGAACAATAAAATTTAATTGAAGAGATAGTGAATTGGTGGTGAGAGGAGTATGCCAGTGTGAGTGATGACCTGAAGATGTTTAATAAAGAAGGTATTACTATACTAATCCTTTTACAGTAGTATACCTTTTTAGTAATTTTGTGTTGTAAACTGTAATTTCTTTGTGTCACATAGTGTACTTTTGTGTAAGTATTTTTACAAATTTCTTCATTTTTTATATTTACAGGTACCTGTGCAGTTTGAATTTATTAAAAAGTTAAATGATACTAGTTTCTGCAAGCCATGGCTTTCTATTAGACCATATGTTAACTTTATTATGCCAGGTAAGTCATAGAGAATATAGTAAATATTTTTATAACAAATAGCAGTTGTCTTTTTAACTGTAACAACAAATAGAATCACAATCCACATATGTGAACCGAACTCAATCTGCAAAATTTTTCAAACTTAGTATAAAGATTACAGTACAGCACTTTATGAAAAATTTGAGTTGTTGGAAATTATTAGAGTGTATTAAGAAAGAATTTATCTTTCTCCATTCTCCACCGCACAACACTTTTCTCTCCCTAATTCTGTATATTTTTTTTATCTCTTCCACAAACTCTGTCCCTTTCCCTACCTCCCTTATGCTCCTTTTCCATCAGTTCTCCACAGACTTGTTTTCTCCTTAATCTCCCTTACACCCTTTTTCCAGCTGCTGTGAAAGCTATTAAAAATTTTCTCCTTGATTTTCAATCTTTCTCTATCCATTGTTTCTGAATAAGTTTTCATGGCAAATTTTGTTGTTTCCAAAGTCCAATAAAAATGTTAAGTTAAGGGTTGAGTTCGCTTACATCTCCAGTTCTTCAAAAAGCATCTGTGAAAATCTTTTCAATAGTATTAGAGAATGTTTTATACTGTTTTTGTGCTCATCTTCACTGAGTAAGCAAATGAAGGTGGGAAGACTGCAGGGGAGATTCAAGAATTTAGTTTAATAATTGAGGTAGTCTTTTCCTGCAAGGAAGAGGATGAGAAGAATGACTTTAGCACAAACTTTTTAATGAAGGAGCACAAACCTTGGAATAAAGTTCCCCTCAAGGGAGGTTCCTTGATGCTAGTGAAGGGCTCTTGATCTAGGGAATTGGATCTGTGCTCCAGTTCCATGAATTGAGCCTGAATACCTTCCATCCCCCCCCCCTACATGTGCTGTATAATCCTACAGGTTTAGCGCTCCCCCATGATTATAATATAATTGGAATAAAGTTTGTGCTTCTAAATCTAGGGTCTCAGTTGAGTTGTCCTGAAACTTTTCTTACCTCTAGTTTCTGGTTTATTGTCGTCTGAGAGGAACAGTAAACATTAGTACTATAAACACAGTAATGCAGTTGATTTTTGCTTGTTTCAAAATTGCTTGGTATCTTTTGTTTTTAATACACTGGGCTTAAGCCATATACAGATCATGTGTTTATTTATTTAATAGATTTGTCATTGGATTTTGATAAATGCTCCATATGTTTTCAATAATGCACTATATTGATAATATAATTGGTCTCTTTTGTTAATTGATTTGTCATTGGGTTTACATAAATGTTTCCTTATTTATTTATATATTTTATGTATTTTTTAATGTACCAGCCATCTCCCACCGAGGCAGGCTGTGCTAAAAAGAAAAATGAAAGTTTTTCTTTTTACATATAATAATTTATATAGGAGAAAGGGATGTTGTTAATAATTAATATAGTTGCCAGATAATTTGCCTTTTTTCAGCATTGATTGTTTTGAAGTTATTTTACAGGTGATAAATGTGATGTTGCACTTGAGGTACTGGTGGACAAGCGTACAGCAGCACAGCTCAACTCAGGAACAGACAAACTCTATGATATTCTTGTGCTGCACTTGGAAGGTGGCAAAGATCTCTTTATTACTATCACTGGTACGTGTTTATGCACTGAAGTAATCCAACATGCAATGTGGTATAACATGTGGTATAGCAGCATGAGAATTCTTTAGTATTGTACTATATGTAAAAGCTCATGGTTTCATGATTAGATTCTGCCTAGACAGGCATGTGTGATGTATCTGACTCACGAAATCGTAATGACACGATTGCAAACAAACCATACTACGGGCGGGATTTGAGACTCTCTGACCGCGGGTTCAAATCCCGCCCGTGGTATGGTTTATGTGTGTTGTATGGTTGTTTAACGAGGAGAGGTGTGGGATTAAAATATGCAGAATCTAGTACAAAGTGAGAACTGTCACAGTTGCTTTTTGCTGATTACACTGTTCTTTTGGGAAATTCGGAAGAGAAGTTGCAAAGGTTGGTGGATGTATTTGAGAGGGTATGTAGAAGAAGGAAATTAAACGTGAATTTATAAAAGAGCAAGGTGAGAGGGGTAACAAAAGATTTAGGAAATGGAGGACTGGATATCAGATGGGAAGGAAGGAGTATGGAGGAAGTGAATGTGTGCAGATATTTGGGAGTGGACTTGCCGGAGGATGGGTCTGTGGAAAACGATGTGAACCACAGAATTTATTAGGGGGAAAAAATGGGTGGTGCATTGAGGTATCTGTGAAGACAAAGAATATTAGAAGTTTTTATTTAGGTTTTGGATACATCTACACTTTTTTTTTACAACCTTCTTGATGGCACACACATTCGTTCTTTAGTATTTTCCTCCTAATATAGCAAACTTCCTAGCCTTTTCAAAAGGTGCTTCTTGAAGTCGCTCAGAGCAAATATATGTTTATATTGTAATTGGAGATGCATTCAAAAGCACTCTCCCAGATTTAGTATTCTTGTATATCTATACCTGTAAAATGTGTTAGGTTATTTTTTAATCAGTAATAAGATACCTGGGAATTAGGCAACTACTGTGGGTTGCATCCTGGGGAAGGACTTTAAAAGGTTCCCAGTGATAATAAGTCACACTGATTCCATTTTTTTCAGTTATCCTTGTTACTAAACCTTTGGAGTTAATAATCTGAATAGTCTTTTTCTTCTTTTACTGCCCCAAATTTTGTTGCATCATGACACAGTGCCTTTCTGACAACCCTCACAAAATACTCTTATTAATTTGTATATTTGTGGACTTATTCAGTCAAACCTTTACATTCACAGGTAATTTAGGTTATTAGTAGTAATTGTATTTTTCTAAAGGTTTTTTCAAGTCATTATTAGTCCTTACATTTACTTTTCTTCTCAGGTGACTATGAGAGAAGTTGTTTTGGATCTTCCATAAATGCTCTTGTTCACATGAATAAGCCTTTCAAGGAAGTCTCTATGGCTAAATTGATTGACCTGGTAAGTAGTATAATTCTCCATTTGTTTTGTTCCTGGTACAGTATTTTTTTCCATGCCTAATTCATCATGAAAGCCTTCAAAGATTTGTGTTTGAGACTACTTCTGGTAGTTGCTATTGTTGTTGCTATGCTTGGCTGGAAATTTACTGGTACCAGGTCCATATTTCACTGAGGAGAACAGTGTTAGTTCAGCATTGTATTTAATTTAAACTATTTTCCTTAGTTGCATAGTGATTCTCCTTGAATGCTTTTAGCTGCCATAAGGGCTGGTGTGTACTGTAGCTAAGATTCATGAAATCATAATGACACGATTGCAAATAAATCATGATACAGGTGGGGATTGAACTCGCAGCAAGTGAATCGTAAAGTTCCAGGCCAGCGCCTAAGCCACATACCCATGGTTTACATGCTGGCCTGGAGTTTTACGACTCACTTGCCATGAATTCAATCCCCACCTATACTGTGGTTTGTTTACTGTAGTTAAAGTTCCTTTTCTGCTGGGCAATGGGCTTTGGCAAGGCATCAAGAAACTAGTGCACAGGAAGGCCCCGTGTTTTGGCATCTCTTTTTTCGGTGTCTCACTATTTCGGCAGTTTTCAAGTGAGCTATTGTTTATTTTGTCCGGTGGGTTTTCCACTTTTCGCACAACAGCTGCATCAGGGAAATGCATCTGTTACCATATTTTAAGGTAAGTATTGCATGTACTATATACTCATTTTACTTTTCCTATCTTTTTTTTAGGTCTAGCTGTATTGTGCACTTAATACATGATAGTGTAAACTTGTTATCAGGTGTTTCATTTGGTAATGAAAAAATTGCTGTGTTCCACTCACCTGTGATTTTCATTTATCGACTGGGTCAGGAACCTAACTGTCAAAAAAACAGGGCCCTCCTGTACATTGTGTTAAACACTAAAAACAAAATAAAACTTAAAAATAATCATAATTTGGCATCAATAAATTGCAAAATGTAAATATCACTGGTGCATTTATGCCGCTGTTGCCAACAAGTGATCAGTTTTGACAACTTTAACACACCCAAATTTGTTTTTATTAGATTACTTTAATTGTAGTCTTATTTGATTCTTAAAAATGCACAATTTTGTCTTTAAGAAAAAATTCCAAAATCTCTCCATTACACAGGAAATTAAATTTCCAGGTATGCCACAGTTAAGCAGTTAAAAAATGCAAAATCATTATTGCTTTTTCCACTTTATCAATTGTACATATTTTCATAATAGAGTATAATGCTGTTATGGGAAATTTTATTTTGTGGCACCGTATAATAATTGAATTGAAATATTTTTGAAAAGCTACATAAGGTTTCAACTTTAAGTAGTGTCACACTGAGATGTTTACTGGGTATTGCATTCTTGACTTGCAGCTTTTATTCCTTAATATTTTTTCAATAATAATTTCACTAGTATGTTTTTTTTTTTTTATATTGATAAATTTTAAATTGTTATTTTTCCATGTTTTATTCATAATTCTTAATTTATTTTTCTTGATCTTATTCTGCATAGCCTCTGCTTGACCAGGTAAATAATTACTGAATTCTTTTCTCGAATTATCATCATTTTGTTGTAGTACATTACACAATTATCATATTTGCCATAGAATTAGAAAATGTCATTTCAGCATTATTGTTGATCATATTAATTCATAGGAACTTTACTGCAAGTATTGAGGATGAAAAGGTTATCGTATTAGTCTTTTTTTATTATTTAGACCAAGAAATTGTCATCATTACAGTACCCCATTTCTCTCTCTTGCATGGGGTCGAGAGGCATTTACCTGGAAAGACTGGGAGAGTATTGAATTAATCAAAGTTAAAAGTATTTAGTGAAATTGACTCTTCATTAACACTTTACACTGTCACAACCCTCAAAATTAAAAGTGATGGCAGTGTCACAATTGAAAAAAAATCGTTAAATGGTAGAGAATCTTTTTTTTTTTTTTTTAGTGTAATGACACAAAAAAATGTGAAATTTGATGGAAAACTTGGAATGCAGTTTGCAGATCAATAATTTTATCCACTTTGATGCCTATTTTATATCAATTCCTGGCCATTTTATTAGCATGCCTTCCATACTATCACACCTGCCTTATATAAATTGCCCAGAATACAGTTATTTGGTGAATTTTTGTACAAAATTCAACAAATTCCAATTTAAAAAATGTAGTCCACTATAAACACTGTAAGCATTCCAGCCACAAGAGTAACTTTTCCTCTGTTTGTTTACTAATCATGTCCCCAAACTTTTCCTCTATAACACTTGCCTTTCATTTTGAATCCTTCTTCAAACAATTTGAAGTTTTGCCCTATATCATGGCTAATAAGAAAAAAACAAGAATGATTGGTCATGGTTTAGGCTACTTAAATAATTGAAGCAGACGTGGTAAAACCCAAGACATTAGTTCATAGGTTTGCTATTTCTCTCATTCACTGAATGGAACAGCCTTTTTTTTTTTTTCATATGCACACCCATAAGACAGATCCATTCTCTCATATCTCTGCTAAAATTTACTAATCACAGTATATTTGTGGGCACTTATGATTAAGATGTAGGTCTGCTTGAGAGACACTGGCTTCAGTGATGTAGATCTGTGTGAGAGACAGTGAAAGGTTTAATATCTTGCACATTTGGATTTATCATAGGGAATTGGTAACACAACACACTAATAAATGTGAGCAGCAGTATTTCAGATGTTTCTTTAACAAGATGTAAAATATTTCATGCGACATTTCTCAAAAACACAATGTAATTTTTTTCCATTTATAACCATCTACGTCTTGTGCATTGTTTACACACACACACCATAGTTTGTTGTTCATTTGTTTACACTAACTGCTTCTCTTTATGACTATCATTGTGTGTGCATCACAGTTATGAAAGCTAGACGCTTGATCACACCCCAGCAATTCTATAAGAAAAAATTTCTGATTCTAATTCTTTCTCTCTTCCCGTTACCACACATGCTTCTCAGAGTATTCATTTCTTCTGCTCCAATTCTGAAGGTTCCATGCTCTTGGTATACCAGTGTTTTACACCTGGACTTTATGTGGCCCATCATTCCTTCAGTCATCCTTATAGCTTTAACCATTACGGTCTTCCAAATGAGGGCTTTCATTACATCAGTCACTTACCATCCTTACTTATTATTTGTACAAATTACATTAAACCATCAGTTAACATGCAGGTTAAATTTCTGAAAGTTGGTGCTTAATATAAAATAGCATAACTAATATACAGTGTCTGATTACATCTTTATGCCACTTCTTGTACTGAGTGATTTTAATGTTCATCATTTGCTCTAGGGAGGGACGTTCTGTGACTCGCAGAGACCATTTAGTTTCTTCTCATCTACCTCTCCATGTCATTATAGACAGAGTGCTCTTGCCAGCGCTATTGTAAGTTGCTTGACTGCTTGGTTAATAAATGTCTCGTGTGGTACTTGAAAACTAAAAACTGTGACCATTCCACCATTGATCCCTTATTGTGCCTCAATATGTATGTCCTCAGTCCCCTTGCTAATAACCATCGGTTATTGCAGTTTTTTTGATTTAGAAAAGCTTATTACATTTGCAGTATAGAGAAAGCTCATGACACTACATCTTGTTCCAAGCCTATACTGTATTCCTCCGAGGCAAATTACAGTACGTATAGGACCACTTTTTCTTCAAGATTTCTTAACAGAGGCACTTCAGTATTCACGTAATTAACAGTTGTTTCCCTGACTTTGTTCAAGGTGAAGGTGTACCACAAGGTTATGTTCTTAATACTATTTTGTTCCTGTTTATCAGTAATAAACTTGCCATTGTGTTCTCCCTTCAGATTTCTGCTGATCCCGACATATAGAGTCAGCTTTCTCAGAAAGCTAGTCTATATAGAGTAGTGTGATTACATATTTTCAAATGCAGTTGAAAGAGTGCATCCAAAATTGAATAGCACATACTATGAAGGCCTTTCCATGTGCAGTTCAATTATGGATGTGTTTTTCAACACCATTTGTAAAAAATGTGCACTATACAGAAGACTGTTGTAAGAGCTGACTATAAATTGATTTTATTATTGCTTGTGCAGGTACAGTCTATCAAGTTATAGCAACTTCTACAATACACTGTTGATCACTTCTGTCTGGGCCACCTATTTCTTCCCATGTTTCTGAATGAGATACAGTTCAAATTCTTGGCCTTTTCTTTAGTTGTTTAATATCATGGAAGTCTTGTATAATCTCCATAAAGTGGCCTGTCAGTGCCAGCTGAATCTACTTAAAACTTAAGTCCATTTTAATTGGGGAGCTTATAGACAAAATCCCATCTTTAAATAACAAAAAGGCACAATACCGTGACTGGAACGATACACAAATAACCCGCACATAAAAGAGAGAAGCTTACGACGACGTTTCGGTCCGAAACGTCGTCGTAAGCTTCTCTCTTTTATGTGCGGGTTATTTGTGTAAAATCCCATCTTTATTTACAAATTATAATCTGGCAGCATTTATTGGAATTAACTGCTTTATCTGTTGCTCACTAATTCTATAATTTAAGCTCTTTATTTCTGATTAACAATTTCTTTCATAAGTTTAAGCAGTTAAACAATAAGACAGTAAGTATTCTAAATGACTAGTATTGTATTTCAGCTGAAAAATTATGAATATATTTATCATTTTTGTACTTGATTCTTTATATATGCCTGAATTTTCCTTTATAGGAAAGTAAACAGCCTAGGGACTTAAGTGAGATGCCTTATGCTGTGCCAAAAGAACTGTGGTATTTGGTTGACCACCTCCACTCACATGCTCTACAAGTGGAGGGTCTTTTTACTTACAGTGGTCTCCAAAAGGAAATTGTAGAAATCAGGTAGTGTAAATGTTGTTAACTATTTTTTTAGGGATTTCTCTTGCCTTTTGAAGAAGTACAGCATTTAGTGATTTTGCTCTTGAAAGACGTTAATATTCTTTACAAGAGTTAAAAATCATTCCACTCCAATCTGTACTCTTCACTTACTCCCTCTGAAGAAAAATGCTAAATTTTGCTTACTTTTATTTATTTGCATCACGAATAATGAATTGTGGCTCACTTTTGTTCTCCACAGGACTAGCTTAGACGAAGGAGTTCCCAGTGATCTGCTACCAGGCAGTGTTCATTCTGTAGCAGAAGCTCTACTACTATTTTTGGAGGCATTACCAGAACCTGTTATTCCTTATAGTCTTTACCATGCTGCATTGGAGGCAACACCAAACTTTTCTCTCTGCAAAGATGTAAGAAAATTTTGTGTTTTGACATTGCTGCAGTGAAGTATGTTAATCATACTTAATTCATTCTAATCATGTGATACTTAACAAATTCTAAAGTGTAACTAATAGTGTATCTTTTGTGTATGGAACACTGGATGGATATATTTAACACTTTCACTATGTTAGTCAAATATCTGTGGAAGTAGCATTCACTCCACAGTCTAGAAAAACTTTTTCAGTCTCTCATGTTATTTACACTCTGGCAACTTGTGCACAGTCACCAAAATTACACTTAAAGCACAATCCTCAGCATTTCATTCATATAAATTCGTGAGGGGTTTCTTTGGGTAAATTCTCCCACAACTTGTGGATGGTGACCTCTAGCCATGGGAGTGAGATGATGTCCTACCCTTGTAGATATCTTTTTATTGCAGCCCAGAGGTTCTTAGTGGGTTTCAGATCTAGGGACTTTCCTGGCCAGTCATCATCAAAGGTCACTTCACAGTCATGAAGCTACTGAACAACCAATTTAGCAGTGTAGCAGGGAGCACTGTCTTGCATAAAAATCTTTACACCACACTGAGTGAAAGATTCGAGCAAATGATCACAGTAGTAGATAGTTATACTGGTTTATTTGATTCGTTTTGGGCAGCATAATCAACTTGCGAACTCTTTTAGCACTAAAACAAGCCCAAACCATTAGAGATTCAAGGTGTTTTGTATTAATAAAGTTGGTAGAATTACTGACAATATGTAAAGTAAAAGGACACAAGTGCAACTAATGTGACATTTATTGTGGCAACGTTTCGCTCTCCAGGAGCTTTATGGAGAGCGAAACGTTGCCACAATAAATGTCACATTAGTTGCACTTGTGTCCTTTTACTTTACGTGTTTTGTATTACCACAGTTATAGCAAGGGTTCAAGGAGTTACTACTTGGGCATCTGTGAATGTTCCCACCACTGTGAAAGTGGCTTCATGACTTCAAGGAACACTCCACTGTTCCTTGGTCCATGTTTGGCATTTCTTTGCAAATGTCACTGTGGGTGGGGGGTGGGGGGTCTTGCAGGATTTTTGGTGGTGCAGTGGGTTACAGAGAAAGTGTTTAATGTATCTAATAATTTTCAGATAATATACAAGCTGCCTGATTACCATCGGAATGTATTTACTTACCTAATGGCGTTCCTGAAAGAACTTCTAAACCACTCAGAAGATAATAACCTTGATGCTAAAACTCTTGGTAAGTAACATTACATTGTGTATCCCATGCTTTACCATAGATGTAAGTTGCTGATTAGCAAAATAATTTTTTTTTCAACATGTCAGCCATCTCCCACAGAATTAGGGTAACCCAAAAAAGAAAGAAACATCATTCACACACAATCACTGTCTTTGCAGAGGCACTCAAATACGATGGTTAGATGTCACTTCAAACAACCAATATCCAAAACCCCTTCTTTAAAGTGCAGGCATTGTACTTCCCACTTCCAGGACTCTAATCTGGCTAACTGGTTGCCCTAAAACCCTTCACAAACTATTACCCTTTTCACACTCCAACAGCTCCTCAAGTCCCAAAAACCATTCATCTCCATTCACTCCTATCTAACTCACTTACACATGCCTGTTGCATGTCCAAGCTCCTTGCACATAAAACTTCTTTTACCCCCCTCCCTCCATCCTTTCCTAGGACAACCCCTATGCCTCCTACCCTTCACTACAGATTTATACACTCTCCAAGTCATCCTATTTTGCTCCATCCTCTAAATGACTAAACCACCTCAACAACCCCTCCTCAACCTTCTGAATTATACTTTTAGTAACCCCACACCTCCTAATTTCCACACTATGAATTCCCTACATAATATTTATACCACACATTTCCCTTAGACATGACATCTCCACTGCCTCCAGCCTCCTCCTTATGATGAATGGTTTGAAAAACCGACAAGTTGAAGATTGAGACACTTATACAGCATATGGGAATCTTTATTCAGGAAACGTTTCGCCACACAGTGGCTTCATCAGTCCAATACAAAGAGGAAGGCGTAAGGAGAGGAGGAGTATGAGGTAATCAGTCCCTCAGCCTGGAGTCGATGTGTTCAGTCCATCAATCTTGTAGAATGGACTGAACATGGACTGAACACATCGACTCCAGGCTGAGGGACTGATTACCTCATACTCCTCCTCTCCTTACGCCTTCCTCTTTGTATTGGACTGATGAAGCCACTGTGTAGCGAAACGTTTCCTGAATAAAGATTCCCATATGCTGTATAAGTGTCTCAATCTTCAGCCTCCTCCTTGCTGCAGTATTTAGAACCCCATGCTTCACACCCATATAAGAGTGTTAGTATCACTATACTCTCGTACATTCCCTTCTTTGCCCCCATGGATAATGTTCTTTGTCTCCACAGATACCTTAATGCACCACTCACCTTTTTTCCTTCATCATTTCTGTGGTTAACCTCATCCTTCATAAACCCATCCGCTGACAAGTCTACTCCCAAATATAGTGGTACTCTGAGTTTCGTACAGCTCCCAGCTTGAACAATTATGTAAGTATTTTTGGGGGTCTGAAACGGACTAATCTAATTTACATTATTCCTTATGGGAACAAATTCGTTTGGTAACGGCACTCGAACAGCCTTCTGGAACGAATTATGACCGAAACTCAGGGAACCACTATATCTGAATGCATTCACTTCTTCCATACTCTCTCCCTCCCTTCCATACTCCCTCCATACTCCCTCTCTCAAATGTGATATCCAATTTTTCATTACCTTAAAATATTTTTGTCCTTAGCTTATAGTGAGTGGTAAATATATTTATTGTAGGAAGTCTGAATTAGTGAAGAATGGGTATAATTGAAAACCACTGCATTAGCAAAATGCTGCAAAGTGGGGCCTGGCTGTATACAGTACAGTGGAACCTTGACTTACAAACGCCCCACCATGCAAACTTTTCAGGATGCGAACTGTCGTTCGGTCAATTTTTTGCTTCTGGATACAAATGAAATTTCAGGATGCATACTTCCCCCTCAAGGGAGTTTCCTTAAATAAATAAATAAATAAATAAAATATTTATTTCTTTGCAAAGGTTACAATGTGTTTTTACACATCATAATGTGATTGGAGCAAAGTAAGCCACTATTATCATGCTGAAGCATTTCGGGCAGACTTAACCTAATACTTATAGACTACTGAAGTCTAAACAGGTGAAAAGTAGTGGTTACCAATGTTTTGCTGATGGTGGCACCAACTACTGGCACCTTTTTGAAGTTTCTCCTTACTGTTGTTATTATTATTATTTTTTTGTTTTTTTCAACAAGTCGGCCGTCTCCCACCGAGGCAGGGTGACCCAAAAAGAAAGAAAATCCCCAAAAAGAAAATACTTTCATCATCATTCAACACTTTCACCTCACTCACACATAATCACTGTTTTTGCAGAGGTGCCCAGAATACAACAGTTTAGAAGTACTATATACGTATAAAAATACACAATATACCCCTCCAAACTGCCAATATCCCAAACCCCTCCTTTAGAGTGCAGGCATTGTACTTCCCATTTCCAGGACTCAAGTCCAGTTATATAAAATAACCAGTTTCCCTGAATCCCTTCACTAAATATTACCCTGCTCACACATTATTATTATTACTATTACTATTATATTGTATTATTATTATTATTATTATAATTATTATTATTAGTAGTAGTACATACATGGTGAGGGGCTCTTGATCTAGGGAATTGGATCTGTGTTCCAGTTCCCTAAATTAAGCCTGTATAATAGATGGTTTCGAAAGGCCGTCACTAGATGGCAGTGAATACCACAACAATGCAGGACCAGTTATGGCCACCACCACTTGTCATATAGTGACATATTTTATTCATTCTAGTGTATATATCAAGTTTCTATGTTATTTATATTGTTTATTAGGTCATATTAGCTCAATTGTGTTAGATAAATAAGCTGTAGAGCTCATATTAGCATTATATTGAAGTGTATTTTTCCTGCCTCAGAGAGCAGAAATTCCGCCGGAATGGATTAATGGCTTTTCAATTAATTTAAATGAGGAAAATTGACTCAGCATACGTACAAATCAGGATACGAACAAGGTCATGGAACGGATTAAGTTTGTAAGCCGAAGTTCAACTGTATTTTCATTTTGACCTTTGACTAATCATTGAATTTTTAATGTAGTAACGTATTTGGTAAATATTTAATAATAACAATACAGTGGACCCCCAGTTCACTTTATTAATCCGTTCCTGAGAGCTCATCGTAAAGCAAAATTATCGGAAAGCGAATCAATTTTCCCCATAAGAAATAATGGAAATCAGATTAATCCGTGCAAGACACCCAAAAGTATGAAAAAAAACTTTTACCACATGAAATATTAAGTTTAATGCAATAGAATAATTACAGTAACAATAATAACAGTAGAATAATCACAATAGAATAATTGACACTTACCTTTAACCCTTTGAGGGTTGACAGGCCCTCTCAGAAACTCGTTCTCAGGGCCGGCCAAATTTCAAAAAAAAAAAAAATTTTTTTTCTTATGAAAAAATAGTTTTTTTTTCTAAACATTATAGGCTAAACAAAAAAATTTTACCATCAATACTTACCGAGATATGGAGGCGTGAAGTTTGCCAAAATTGAACAACATCTGGTAACATCGCCGACTGCCATCACCCGGTATTTTTCTATTTACTTTTTTATGTACTATTTTCAATTATTTTTCAATTTTTCTTTTTCTGAGTAACTTTTATGGCCTCTGAGGCCAACATGATCATTATTTTGTAAGTTATTTCTTTTTCAATACTACACAATAAGGGCGTAAACACTGTTGTCATTATTTTGTTTATAGAAAATATTTACACAAACAAACGATATGAAATGTTGTTTATTACTATTTTTCTATATTTTATATACACATATACAGTCACAGGGAATGTTTCTAGAAGTTCTGCAGCCTGTGGAACTCTTTGAAACATGGTGTCATGCACAGTGGTGTTTTACACTCCTCACACATAAAACGAGTGTCTCTGCGTTGTTGTGGGCGTTTTTTTTGTATGTGCACAGATGTAACACCTCTTCTGAGCCTTTTTCTTGAAAGCAGTAGCAGGCAGTTTTACCAGGAAGTGATCACCATGCTTCAGACGAGCAGGTAGTTGTTGATAATTTGGTGGGCGGTCAATTGCAGGTGCTGTTCCTTGGTACTTGAATACTGTTTGTCTGATGACAGACAAACAGAATTCGCCGTACTGTGGTTTGTTTCTGGTCCTCATCTTATACATATTATAAGCATTGGACATGGAAATGTCCAGAAGATGGAAAAACAGTTTGATGTACCACTTATAACTCTTGCGAACACAATCAGCAAACCCAATCTGCATGTCACATTTGTCCACTGAATGCATGTTGAAGGTGTAATCAATCACAGCTGCAGGTTTTAGAATGGGTTCATTGCTCTCTCTATGCTGCCTGCCACTGTCTGCCATTTTATTAGGGTGAACTGATGACAACAGTGTGACATCACGTTTGTCATGCCACCGAAATGCCATGATGTCATTGGCAGCTAACGCCTGCACCTCACCTCTACGAGTGCCAGTGTCAAACCTGGGCATATGTTTCCAATTTGCACGCACTGTGCCACACACATCTGTCATGTTCACTCGCAAAAAATCACTGAGCGAGGGGCTTGTGTACCAGTTATCTGTATATAATATATGCCCCTTACCAAGGTATGGTTCTATCATTGTTCTAACCACATCACCTGAGATGCCCAGTAACTTCCTGATATTTTGCAATGTATAACTTCCAGTGTACACAATAATATCCAATACCAGACCACTGTAACAATCACAAAGCACAAACAACTTTATACCAAAGCGTTTCCTCTTGTTTGGTATGTACTGCTTGAAAGAGAGTCTTCCTTTGAACAGAATCAAAGACTCGTCAATTACAAGCTTCCTGAAGGGATAAAAATGCGTACTGAATTTCTCTTTCAGATACACAAACACATTCCTAATCTTATATAACCTGTCAGTTCTGTCAGGCCTGGTTTTGTCTGAGAAGTGAAGCATACGTAACATTAGCACAAATCGATTCACTGGCATTATATCACTGAAACCTGGTGTTGCAATCAGGCGGTCTGTTGACCAGTATGATTTCACTTTGTGCTTATACACATGTGGCATAAGCATTATTGTGGCAAAGAAAAGATACATCTCAGCCACAGTTGCCTCCTTCCACTGGTGTAGACGTGATTTTGGTGAAAGTAATGTGTTTGCCATGGTGTACTCGTAGTATGTGTTGCTTTCCATGACAATACTTTCCATCAGGGGTTCGTCAAAGAATAACTCGAAACATTCCAGTTCAGTGGCATTGTTCCCAAGTGTACAAGATGGCCGTATTCCACTTTGGCTGTCATCAAACTGGTGGGCATTTGGAACAAAATTGACAGCTTCCTGCCAATCCCAGGTGCGGTCTGCTGGTGGGTACTGGACAATGACAGGTGGTTGTGGTTGTGGAGGTTGTGATTGTGGAGCCTGGTATAGTAGGTGGGTGGGGGATGGTGGCCTTTGTTGTAGATCAGCTGAGGCAGCAGCATGGGTGGCAGCGTGGGTGGCAGCATGGCCCACTGCTGGTGCCTCACCGCCACCACCACTACCACCATGCACATTTTCCATCCCAATTGCAACAATATCATCGTCATTTTCACTGTCTGTTCGTGTTGTACAGCCATGGGATGTACTCCGAGATGCACTCCTTCCCCTTGGAATAGCATGTGGCACACTACCAGAGCGCATATATCGTCGTATATACTGACGCTTCACTGGGGAATATTGCACTTCACTATCACTACTGGAACTAGTTTGAAGAGCTTGTAGTTCATATTCACTATCACTATCATCACACATGCTCTCATCTGAGTCTGGGATTTGGGAAAATAAAAGTTTCCTCTTGGATTCTGGTACAACTGAACGTGAACAAGACGGCCCAGCACCAGAGGTGGAAGGCTGAGGGTCGTCTGGGTTTTCCTCACTATTACCGATATTATGATCATTAGTTTCGGTCAAAACCTCACCAAAACCATTGAAACTCATCTTCACTGGCACTTCCATCTGTATTAGAACTGTCACTGGGGAACAAAAGTGTCCCAATTCGCCGAGGAGTGAGGAGCTTCTTACCGCAAGGCATGGTGGACATTGTTTACTAAGATGGCATTCCCACAATGCACCACTGGGTCCCAGATTTTTTTTCTACCGCGCACACTGACCACACAGACCCATTCTCTCACATCTAGGCCTACCAGCCTTTTCCCGCGAGATTTGACGGCACTAGAATTTATGCGTACTAGTACATCAAAAACCCCTTCGCAGTAAGCCGTACTAGTACGGCTTACGCGCAGGGGTTAATGAAGATCTGGTGATGATTGATGGGATGGGAGGAGGGGAGAGTGTCGAAGTTTTTAATGTTTAGAAGGGAATTGCTGTTTTGTAATCACAGTTGCACCTTTTGCAAGAACAGCTTTCTTGATTGCTGTTTTCCTGCTCACTATAGTAGAGATGGTTGTTTGGGATTTACTATACAACTTGGCCAGGTCCGACACACGCACTCCACTTTCATACTTTGCAATTATCTCTTTCTTCATTTCAATAGTCATTAGCACCCTTGGTCTCGATGGGTTGGCACTAGAAGCTTTCTTGGGGCCCATGGTGACTTATTTTGCAGAAACAAGCACCAAAAACAGTGATAATATGAATAATATGGAATGTACCGAATGTATCCTTAGATGCGCGCACACTGGCTGGCTTGTAACTATCACACACTGGGCAGTTCAGGCCACACGTGGACACGTCTCGTACGAATCGTATCGCATACCGGGTTTTGTAACGGGAACCGAGGCAATTTTTTTGCGATATAATGCTTTGGATACCGGATTTATCGGATACCGATGACTTCGCGAACCGGGGGTCCACTGTATTAGATATTTAGATATTGTTAATATTAAATATTTACCAAAATTAGATATTTTTTCTAGAGTGTATAAAAAAATGCATTTATCTTTACAGCCTTGGTTTTTGGCAGCATATTACTGAGAGAGCCTGTTAATGCAGCTTCAGATCGCCGGACCTCACCTCAAGCAGTCGAGAGAAAGAAACAGACTTTTGTCCATCATTTTCTCATGAATGAATACGAGTAAGGATAATTCATACAGGTATTATAATAATTTTCACTGTTCATTATAGGCAGTGTTAGACATGTAATAATGCAGTTTGCATTTACAGAGTATTAATATCCTGAGTCTTGTTAAAATTCTAGTCTTTTATGTGTCTTTTTGTGAAATACGTAATAATATTGTTAATTCACATCAAGATTACTTTAATCTTTTAATTTTGAAAATTGATACATAGCTTATTTTATCAGCTGAATTTTTTAATAGTGACATAGCAGATGTGAACTGTATATTTGGTAGACACAGTGTATTCTGGTTCTATGTAGAAATTGTGGATACATAATGGCTTGTATCATCGTGTGTCCATTTGTTGCAACGAAGGTAGAATGTAAAGACTTGCTGTTTTCAGAAATTTCATTGTTTCTGCTTGCAGTCATTGCCACGTTTGTTTGACGTGGACATATTGATTCATTTATCATTCATTCAATCATCCATAAATTCACCCTTGTTATAACATCTTCATTCTAATGCAAAGTCAAATTTTGTAACCTTTCTGGATATCTTTTTACTAATGAGCATGAGCTATTTAATCAAGTGAGAATTTGAGAAGAAAATCTAAAAAACTACACTGATGCTTCTTGATGGTACAGATCAAGCTAATTCTGAATTCTGCTGAAAGCTTCAAGCTTTGTATATATATTGTGAATCAATAGTAGCTTTCAATTATTGAGTTTATGTATATTTTGACATTCCCTGATTTACTGTTAGAGAGAACATCAGGTTTAATTTCTGAAATTTCTCATAATTTATGTAATGGATGGTAATGCATGATCCTTGAATGCAGTACAGGTTTTACCTACTGAAATTTGTAACATAACAATCAGGTGATATTTATCGAACGAAAAATTAAAATGATTATTTTAAGCCCTCCAAAGTATAAAAACATTTTGTTGGTAAATAGACACAAGAACAACTAATGAGACATTTATTATGGCTTTGTTTAACTTTCTAGGAACTTCATCAAGCAAGTGCAAAAACTATCAGCACATAGACGATATATAAAAGGAACATTTGGCTGTGGGACTTAACTCTTTCACTGTCCTTCATGTAGATCTGTGTCAGTGGGGCTAGGGATACTTATGTAGATCTATGCATAAATCATAGAGCCCTCAAATATGTTGTGAGTGGCAAATTTTGGACTAAATATGAGAGAATGACCTTGTGTTTGGTTTAAAATATCAAATTTAGGCATTTCCGAGGGAAGTTTTCATGGTTTATTGGTAGTTTCTTGATATAGATTGATAGAACAGAAGACTTACTAGTGAAATGGAGAAGATTTTGGTCAATGTCAGGTTGAAGTGGCCTTAAATAGGCCTCAAAGTGGTGGAAATATTCAATTTATGGTGATATTCCTGAGGAAGGGTGAGAGTCCCACTACCCTCCAATCTGTTTTCTTGGTTTTTACTAGGTTTGCTTCAATTTTTGGGATGGCCTAAACCATGATCAAGCATTCTTCATTATGGTTTATTAGCTGCAAAATGGGCACAAACGTTGATTTTTTCTGATGATGATAGACTCAAAATGGAAGGGGACATGATTAATGAACAGATTGAAGGTTGCTTTAGTGGCTGTAATGCCTGCAGTGTTTGTTTTGGATACTGTTTTTAAACTGGAATTTGTTCAAAATTGTGTAAAATAGGCCAAATTACTGACCTCTGCAAGCTTTATGGGGTAGTCCTGTTAGTTGAATAGGCAGTGTCTTGTGACCAATGTATAGTATGGAAGGCATATTAGTAAAATAGCCAGGAAATGTTTTGATCTGAATCTAATTTGGGACTTTTAGGTCTCAAAGTTGGCAAAATCACTGTTGCATGAAGTGCTCCCTAACCTCCAATTTTGTGCTGGCATAAGTCAGTACCTATTACATCAGATTTTGCATATTTGTCGTCATTACCTTTCGAAAAATATCCTGTAACATATAGTCGGACTTGAGTCCTGGAAATGGGAAGTACAATGCCTGCACTTTAAAGGAGTGGTTTGGGAAAATTGGCAGTTTGGAGGGATATGATTTATCTTTATATGTGTATGCTTCTAGACTGTTGTATTCTGAGAACCTCTGCAAAAACAGTGATAATGTGCGAGTGTGGTGAAAGTGTTGAATGATGATGAAAGTATTTTCTTTTTTGGGGATTTTCTTTCTTTTTTGGGTCACCCTGCCTCGGTGGGAGACGGCCGACTTGTTGAAAAAAAAAAAAAAAAATTTTAGAAGAGTATTTTTTTTTTTTTTTTCTTTTTTTTTTTTTATAGAAAATACAGAGAAGGGTTTTTTATTTGGGAGGATGTTGGCAGTGAAATATTTAATCAAGAAGTTATGGTTTTAGAGTAGTAGTAGTAGTGAAAATGCAGCCTCTCCTCACTTAACAACCGAGTTCCATTCTTAAGAGCAGGTCAGTTAGTGAATTGGTAGTTAAGCGAGGAGCATACCGTACTGGTAGTGGGTTTGTGTCAACCATATTTAGATATTTTTTTAACATCACCTTTTCACTATTTATAACATTTTTAGTATATTTTTAAATGTTTATACAGTAGGGTACTATATACTGTAATAAACAGAATAGAGGAAATCAGCTCTAATATACATTACTTAGGTTTGCATATTGGTCGGAGAGCTGGTCGTAACCCCTAGCGGTCATTAAATGAGTACATCGCTAAGCGAGGAGTGATCGTAACTTCTTGTCAGGTTACAGCAGGTTTATCTTCTTCAAGGAGGATATGTGGTAATATTTCAGAGATTACTTAAGCTGAGTTTGTTCTTCTTAGCTGTATCTGGAATGGAGACTTAATACCATGTCTAGGCATTTTCATCTATGGTGTCTAGTTCCTTGATCACTAGGTGCGTGTCTAGTTCCTTGATCACTAGGTGTATTCTATTTCCTTGGTCCCCTAGTAGGTGTCTAGTTTGTTGATCATTAGGTGGGGGGTCTGGTTCCTTGACCACTAGGTGGGTGTCTGGTTCCTTGACCACTAGGTGGGTGTCTGGTTCCTTGATTGCTAGGTGGATGTCATTACATTCCATGTAGTGGCTGATGTCATTCTGGTGTTGCAACCATGCATTATTCAGGTTGTCACCTCTGCATATATAGTGTTAGTTTAGCTGTGTTCCTAGTTTTATTCTGGTGTTGCAACCATGCGTTATTCAGGTTGTCACATCTGCATATATAGTGTTAGTTTAGCTGTGTCCCTAGTTTTCCAGCTGCCTTCTTGATGCATACCTTGTCATAACCTCTGTATGATATAATAATAATAATGACTGCATTGATTGGTTCTAGGCCCTTCACTTTGGTTTTGGTGAGATTTTTCATGTATGTGCGGGTTCCTGGGGCAATTTGGGTGTAGACTTGTGGAATTACTTTGGGGGACTTTTGGGAAAATTGGCTGTTGGGAAGGACAATAATTTTGTTCAAAGGGAAAAAATTATTGATGTAAAAGGGCTTGTTTCTTAAAGCCTTTAATGAGAAAGAAAGGAAAGAAAGGTTTGGGGAAACATGGTTTTAATATATAGGAACATCTCTTTCTAAAATTTTTTGGGGCTATAGATGTGTTTGGGCCCCAAAAAAAAAAAAAAAAGTTTTGATCCCTTTGAGTTTTAATCTTAGTATTTAAAACGGGTTTTGTAAAATGTTTTCGGGTTGAGGGGATCTCTGTAGACGCCCTTTTTCATCAAGTGTAAACTGGATAGCCATTTTTAAACTTTGTTGAGCTTCTGTGCAAAGCATCTCAAAAACACTTTTTTTTAAAACCCAAAACACAAATTCTGATGTTTGCTTTTCACTCATCCCACTGCATGGAGCAGGATTTATTTATCCTTAAAATTTCCCCCCCCCCCCCCCCCCCCCCCCCCCAAACTCACTTTTTTTTCTATACCAAAATTTCCACTGATATCATATTTAAGCGTACTGTCCAAAAATCAAAAATCTGTGAGCCACACAGAGGTCGGGTGATGTAGATCTACACGGGTAACGGGTGAAAGGTTTAAGATTTTAAATTTTTTGGGCTTTTGTGTCCATTACAAACATATTGTCAAAAAACAAAAATGGGTTTGGGTTCATTACTTAGTATATTTAAATTGCATGCTTTAACCCCTTTCGGGGTTTCCCCAGGCCCTCCCAAGACGTGTTCTCAGGGTCGCCAAATTTTAAAAAAAAAAGAAAATTATTTTTTCTTTGAAAAGATCATTTTTTCCCGTAAAAATGACACCAAAAGTAGAAATTTGAGGGAAAAAACTTAGGGATTTATGCTCCCCGCAAAGTTAGCGGTCTAAAACGATTTTTTCCCACATCGGCGTTTTTTGCCCATTTTGACCCCTTTTTTTGGGCCCAAATTTTCCCATTTTACTAGTATAAAATCAAAACTATTTTGCTAAAACCCTCCTTTTTTTTTTATCAAAATGAGTACAAAAAACCCCACCCTTTCCCCCCTGATTTAATACCCAAAAAAAGTGGTCAGAATTAGCAATTTTGCCAATTTCACAAATTTCAAAAGATCCCAATTTCCGAATAGGGTCCAGAATAAACAAAAAAAGACTTTCCCGGGCTAAAAATAACATTTCCTCTGTTCATTAGTCACATCCTCACCCCCCCTTTACATTCTTTTGTTTTCCACTTTAAATTTTTTTTATTCTCACAAAAAATAAAAGATTTATGTTATCAAAATTTACTGCATTAGTGTAAAAAAGGCATAAATAATTTTCAGTGCATTTGGTGAAAAAATATTAGATCCCCCCCCCCCCCCCCCCCCCCCCCCAGTTTGACATGTTTTTAAACGCCATAGCATGATATGTTTACTTTTGAACTTTTGAAAAAAATCAAACTTTTCTGCTACTTTGACCCTCAATTTCAAGGTATTTTTCATTGAAAAACCCATAAAAATCATCCCCAATTTCTGTAATATGTCTTCCCATTCTATAAAATGAGCCCAGGAAAACTAAAATACAACAATAGATACCAAAAACAAAAATACAGTGCAAAGTCGCGGGTTTTTTA